GAGAAAGTGGAAGAGAGGAAGAGAAGAGGGATTGGTATAATGGATGTGTGGTTGGCCATGGAGGGGTATCTTTATAAGTTAGAAAGGTGTGTGACAACTAAGATGAAAAAATTATTCCACACGGATCGGGTGTCAGTCAGGATGTATTTCGGTGGGTCTCACCTAATTTTTTTTTTTAAAAAACGGAAATAATCCTGACCGTAGAACACCGTGATCTACGGTCAGGATCGGACACCGCATGCAGAGATATATGCGGTGTCCGTATGCAATAATTTCTCACCAAGATTAGTGATATCGTTGGCTTCCAAAATTGCTTTACAAATTAAAGAGAAGTTTCGGGGAAATTAAATACAGATCACCCGCAATTTTCTATTTGCTATAAATCAACCATATTCTTTAGTCCATTTTTCAAATTCTCACTCAATTATCAAAATTTATGATGAAACCGCAACGCCCATATTTCCATTTTTATCACATTCTCAATAATTAAATCGTGACACGCTTAAATACATGAATTCGATCGTTCAAAAAATTTACTCGAGTGATTTAATTTGTAAATATCAATATTTTGGGAGTTTATATTTAATGATCATTTTCCTAACATGACTAATATTAATTTATTTTGAAACCATGACTACATTATATTAAAGTTGAAAAGCTATGTTTTTAAAAATTTTGGCCCACATTTCATGTGAGCTCTTCTCAATAATTTGACAAAATATTAAAAAAATAATATTTCCTAAAGTCACACCACGAGCTCTTCTCAATAATTTGACAAAATATTAAAAAATGATAGTTCCTTAAAGTCACATCCTAAAGTCACACCACATAGGCACAACTTTTGCTATAATTCGTGCTTGCATGGCACCACTTGTTGGAGAAGCCAAATAAGATGAGAATGTCATCTTATTATGAGATAGTAAGTGTCTATTTTAAGGGAAATGCTGAGCTGCCGCTATGGGACATTGAAGGATCACCTCTTAGTAGTTGATAGTTTATATTATTGTCAAATTCAACAAATTAGCTCATGGTTATAGGTAGGAGATATAATGATAACGATGAGCATGTGTATTAAGTATTTGTAATGGTCTCCTAACCTCTTAAATGGGCATAGAGATTCAACTCCAAATTTGATGTCGTGCAGTACCCCAAGGGCTTTGATGTTTGTTTCATCAATTCCGTTGCGGGTGTGCTTGCTTTGTTGTGGATTTTTTGGGTTTCCTTAAAGGACAAAACAAACAATAATTAATATCAATATGTTGTGTCTTATTCGTGAAACAATCTCCTTATTTATCTAGAAGAGAATACAATAAGAGGATATTATAATTTTGCATCTATTTTAATGGGGTTTGTACAGGGCATTCTATATATCTTATATGTATGAGCCTATCATTTGACTGCTCTAAGCTTGATTGCCTTTAGATTGGTAGAACCGACTCGGTCGGCTAGGATTGGTTGGTGTTGTTGATCGATCGAGCTTTATTGAGTTCGGGTCGGTTAGACTAGCTTGATTGGCATAGCGTATTGGCTCATCTAGTTTGGCTATCGGTCATTGATCCATGGTGAGAAGCTCCTATTGGTGGAGCGACGTCGAACTATCGTGCATAGAGGTAATCATCATAACATGTCAAGTGGTTTGCTCCTCAACGAGGAGAGCCCGAGGGATGGTTATAAGTCTCCTTGTTGCATTGTCAACACCTGATATTGCGGAGTTGAATCTTTTTGTGGATCGACTCTTAATAATTGGTGGGGAGACTACTGGACTCCACTAGTACGATTGGAGATGTCACAATAATAGATCTACCATTGGCTTGAATGGCCTTTTGTATCTTTCTGACCGAACAGTTTGGACTTAGATGATTTGATCACCTTTTTATTCTCCTCGTGGCTCAATCGAATTTGACCTTGCTAGCTTTAACTTGGATGGTTGCATTCAATTGGCTTTGGCTCTGGTTCAGACGACTATATCAGGCCGGATAAGTGAGCCTCATAATCTTCTGTCTCTGGGATTTCCTTTGTCGTGCTTTTATTCTGTTGTGAGATATGTACTTCCTGACATAGAA